TAGTTGGAGGAGAGATCGGAGGAGTTCTAAGAGTTGTTCTTTTGGGCATGGGCATTGTGGGTAGGTGAGGAAAACATTCTTGGCATAAAAACAGAAAGAGGCTTGGCGAGGCATTATTTAGCTTATTTAGTGATTAACACTTAACTTACACAGGTGTGAATGTTGTTTGTCGAGGTTTTATATAGCGGGAGGTCACACCAGCTGGGGGGGCGCTATATATAATATGACTAGTGCCCCCCTGTTGAAATTGTATCCGTTAGGCAATTTCATCCATTGATGGACGTACGGATGGTGACGTGTAAAGCGGAGATTAAATCCGTACTCACACCAAATAGTAATCACTATTTGGTGTAAGTAGCCGGGGCTTGGTGTGAGTAGACGTGGCCATTTCCTGTCCACCCACGTGTCACGATCGTGGTGGTTTTGCTTGGATATAAAGCAAAGGTGCACAGAATTCCGCGTGAATGAACAGTAATGGGCGGGAATTCAAATTTTAAATTATGAATCTCCGTATTTACAGCTATCTATATATCTGGGTGCAGCCTCAGATATTTGTCGGTGGAGAGAGATAAGAGAGATATGCTTTTGCAGTTGGAGAACTATTACACTGAGGTGATTTTCTGGTACCTTGTTTCGTCCCTCCTTTTCTTTCTGCCATCTTTGTCGATTTATTTGGTATACAATGTTGTACTCCTCAGAAGAGTATCCCGAGAATTACGGGCAGTTCACTCAAATGTGTGTAGATCGCTTTTTGACGAGGCAACTAGGACTGTGGGAAGAGAGCCGGCGGAGAGCTCCGGTGAAGTTTGTTTCAGTATACGAAGAGCAGAGGGCAAAAATATCAAAGCTAAGGTGTCTGAACAGAAGGGTTAGCAGAGGTGACAGATCCTGTAGAAGTGTTCGTATAAAAGATTTGGAGTTATTTATAAAAAATGGAAGGAATAGGAAGCAGCCGTTACCGGACCCCCCCTTGCGTACCGGAGGTCAAGGACACCGGCGGCCAGTGGATATAGGCATAGTTACCGTAGTCGTGCACCTTTTAAGACCCAGTATGTTCTACACGTCACCATCCGTACGTCCATCAATGGATGAAATTGCCTAACGGGTACAATTTCAATAGGGGGCGCTATTAATATTATATATAGCGCCCCCTCCTCAGCTGGTGTGACCTCCCCCTATATAAAGCCTCGACAAACAACATTCACACCTGTGTAAGTTAAGTGTTAATCACTAAATAAGCTAAATAATGCCTCGTCAAGCCTCCTTCCGTTTTTATGCTAAGAATGTTTTCCTCACCTACCCACAATGCCCATGCCCAAAAGAACAACTCTTAGAACTCCTCCAATCTCTCCTCCAACTAGCTTGTCAGCCATACTACATACTTGTCGCAAGGAAGCTCCATGAAGATGGAAACCCTCACCTTCATGCCATGGTTCAATGCACGAAGAAGATCCAAACCTCCAACCCGAGATTTTTCGATCTCACAGGAACCAATGGGAGGATCTTCCATCCAAATATAGAAAAACTCCACTCGCCAACAGCAAGTCGATAGTATATACAGAAAGGGGGCGAGTTCGTCGAATGGGGAGAATTTTCATCTAAGGGGAGAAGTCCTTCGAAAAACAGAGACGAACTCTAGAGGGGAATACTTGGCGAAGCAGAAACGGAGGAACAATTCTTTGCTCTCTGTAAAGAAAGATGTCCCACCGATTATGCCACAAAATACCCCCAATTAAAAATATTTTCCAAGGATCATTACAAAAAAGAGAGGCCCCCATATACTAGCCCTTTTAATTCATTTCCTTTCTTAAATGAAGAAGTAAAAAAATGGGCAGAAAATAATATTTTGTTTGTAAGTCGAAATTGCATTCAGTACGAGTTATGTCAAAATTGCTGTCTCTCCGTTTGGAGGGAAGACGATTTCCTTAGATTAGGGATACACAAAAATAATATAAACAATTTATATACTGACGAAGAACTCTCCTTCTCCTCTAATAACAGGAACCAGAGCAAAGACCCATCCGCCCAATCTCCCTCTACCTCGAAGGACCATCATGAACAGGCAAAACCGCCTGGGTGCAGCCTCAGATATTTGTCGATGGAGAGAGATAAGAGAGATATGCTTTTACGGTTGGAGATTTATTACACTGAGGTAATTTTCTGGTACCTTGTTTCATCCCTCCTTTTCTTTCTGCCAATTTTGTCGATTTAGTTGGTATACAATGTTGTACTCCTTAGAAGAGTATCCCGAGAATTACGGGCAGTTCACTCAAATGTGTGTAGATCGCTTTTTGACGTGACAACTAGGACTGTGGGAAGAGAGCTGGCGGAGAGCTCCGGTGAAGTTTGTTCTGGTGTACGAAGAGCAAAGGGCAAAAATATCAAAGCTAAGGTGTCTGAACAGAAGGGTTAGCAGAGGTAACAGATCTTGTAGAAGTGTTCGTATAAAAGATTTCGAGTTATTTATAAAAAATGGAAGGAATAGGAAGCAGCCATTACCGGACCCCCCTTGCGTACCGGAGGTCAAGGACACCGACGGCCAGTGGATATAGGCGTAGTTACCGTAGTCGTGCACCTTTTAAGACCTAGTATGTTCGCAGACAGTACGTTCAGAATATTCCCCGATTCATTAAGAAGACTAAGAGGGGAGTAAGGAAATTACAGATATACGATGAACAATTAAGGGACGTTAAGTTTGATAATAAAGGCGTTTTGAGATTACTTAATGGTATTGAGTTGGGTAATAAGAGATCTGACCGTCAATCAGACAAGATCATGGTTAAGGGTATCAAATTCATTAGTAATGTTCAATTGGAACAAGATGCTAAGGACGAAGCTGTGGTCCACCACGTGTTGTTTTTTGTCATCAGTGATAATAGTCCGTCAGATTCTGTCCCTACACCTGACAAGATATTTATTGGAGTTGGCGAGGGAAATCCTGAGACCTGGTGTAGACACCCCATTTTTGACCGACCTTAAGACTCAGACGTCACCGATTGAGCGCTTGGTGATGTTGCATATCGTGCTCGTTCAGAGGTTGACCAGTTTCGGATGCTAAAAAAAATGAGATTCAAGCTCATTGGTGGCGAGGACAAAGAGTACGTTCGTCACGGGATAGAAGTTGTAGACTGGTTCTTCCCAGTTGATGTTTGGACGGACTACAAAGATACGCTGTTGGGAAATGTTGGAAGCATTCAAAAGGGTGCCATATATTTAGTGGCTGCTACTGTTAGTGGAAAGGAATGCAAAATTACTTTAAGGAGTCAAATGTACTTTAAAACTGTTTAGAATTGTAATTTGATGTATTTTTATTTTTAATGTTCAGGTTAATGGAGGTGGACGATATAAAAACTGGGGTTGTTGAAGGTGTTTCGGCAAGTGATTTCAGTTGTATTGAACTTGCGTTACCTAAGTTATTTTCTCAATTGAGGTTAAGATACAAACAAAAAAGTATTAAGGTTGATAAAATATTGATAAAATATTCCCCCCTTTGTGCACCCAATGTTAGTGGGTTGGTCAGAGTAAATGTTTATGATCGGAGGTTAGACGGTAATGACAGTTTGCAGGCATGGTTTATTTTCCCAGTAGATTGTCAATGCGAGTTAGTCTATTATGGGAATGGTTATTGTTCAATTAATGACAAATAGGTGCCATGGATGGTGAAGTATCGACTTGAAAATTCCAATATTAAAAGGGGGTTACGTATTGTAAAATGAAGGGGTATCTGAAGTATTCTACGAGTGACATGCCAGAAGATTCACAAATTAGGGCCCCCTCTATTGTTGTGTTATCTGAAAAATATACTAATGATAATGTTGATGTCTGGCATTGTTCTCCAACGAAGGTCATTTCGATTCTAACACGGACCAAGTCTGTTGGTTTACCGGAGAGGCGAAGAGATTTGTTGTTAGGAGGTTTTGGGGAAAGTGGTTCAGTTATTCATGAACGCAGAGGTCGTCTGAGTTTGTCAGAGATTGATGTACGCAGAGGTGGTGATGACACTAGTGATGTTGATCCTGGTCCGTCGATTTCAAAGGTTGGTGTTAGTAAAGAGGAAGTTGATCGTAGAGGATCAGTTGTTATAGATGCAGCAGAATTTTCTAACGTTTTACGAAATGTAATCATCAGTGTAAAAAATAGTGATGTGACTCAAGATGTAATAGTTGATGATAAGGGAAATGTAGTAAGTAAATAAAATTTTGAGTGGTTTCATAAATAAAATTAATAAAATTTTTCATTAATCATGACAGTGGTTACATTAACATCAAACCATTCTCTTATTTTTTGGGACATTTCATCTAACCAACTACTGTCTCCATTTGTTAATAAAATACAAGGAACTCCTCCTCTAATAGTGAGATCTGGTTGGAACTTAACAAATACATGGAAATCTCTCTGGCAGCCTACTAAATTCTTCATTAATTCAGTGGGACTGTCGAGTATTTGATGTTGTCTATGACGTTATAGACGGCGTCTTGGTCGTAGTCCTTGAAGCTTATTCTGTCGGAGAAGTAATTGTGTCGTCCGAGGCTTCTGGCCCAGGCGGTTTTGCCTGTTCTTGAGGGTCCTTCGAGGTAGAGGGAGATTGGGCGGATGGGTCTCTGCTTTGGTTCCTATTATCAGAGGAGAAGGAGAGTTCTTCGTCAGTATATAAATTGTTTATATTATTTTTGTGTATCCCTAATCTAAGGAAATTGTCTTCCCTCCAAACGGAGAGACAACAATTTTGACATAACTCGTACTGAACGCAATTTCGACTTACAAACAAAATATTATTTTCTGCCCATTTTTTTACTTCTTCATTTAAGAAAGGAAATTAATTGATTGAACAAGTCATCAATTCTTGGTAATGGATATCAATTTTTAATGGTAACTTGATTTAGTTGTCGATAATCGATGCACAATCTTAAGGTTCCATCTTTTTTCTTCGCGAATAATGCTGGCGCTTCCCAAGGAGACGTACTTGGTCTGATGAAATTTTTATTCAACAGTTCTTGCAACTACTTCTTCAATTCTCGAAGTTCAGCTAGCGCCATACAATATGGTGCTATTGAAATCGGTGAAGTCCCAGGTTGAAGCTCAATCGTCAAATCTATGTCTCGTTTTGGGGATAATCCCGGTAATTCATCAGGGAAAACGTCAGCGTATTCACACACCACATGGGGTAATCCTGGATCCTTTTGATTTTCGTCTTCCAAAATTAGGCTTGCCAACCATCCGATTAGTTGATCATGCCATCACGACTTGCGACATGTTGGAGTTAGAGAATCCTGTTTATCTCCTTTAAATTGAACTATCATGCCGTTAAGGGGGGATGCTGTCACTGTCTTACAGTAACAATCAATGATAGCTCGATGAACTGACAACCAGTCCATTCCTATGATGACGTCAAAATCAGACATATCCATAACTCTTAGATCACAGATCAAATATGAACCGGAGATTCCTAGCTCACAAGATTTACATACTAGATTTACTCGGGTTTGACCTCCTAAAGTTGAAGCGACACTCATAGCTATCTCTAACGCTTCTGGTTCTAAACCCAAACTTGTCACACAGTAATCACTATTTGGTGTGAGTAGCCAGGGCTTGGTGTGAGTAGATGTGGCCATCTCCTGTCCACCCACGTGTCACGATCGTGGTGGTTTTGCTTGGATATAAAGCAAAGGTGCACAGAATTCCGCGTGAATGAACAGTAATGGGCGGGAATTCAAATTTTAAATTCTGAATCTCCGTATTTACAGTTGTCTATATATCTGGGTGCAGCCTCTGATATTTGTCGATGGAGAGAGATAAGAGAGATATGCTTTTGCAGTTGGAGAGTTATTACACTGAGGTGATTTTCTAGAATTCTCTCCCTCTTTTCTCTTTCTCTCCCTCTCATTCTGTTTCTTTGTTTTGTTTTTTTTTTTTCTCCTTATGCTGTCTGAAACAGAGGGAGAGAAAGAGAAAAGAGGGAGAGAAGAGAGAAGAAGAGGGGAAGAGAAACAGAATGAGAGAAAGAGAAGAGAGGGGAAGAAGGAATGAAGAGATAGAGAGAAAGGGTCGATCGCTGATCGCCGATCACCGCCGCCACCGCCGCCGCCTCCGATCGCCGATCTCCTTAGCCCCTTTTTTTTTTCCAGATCGAAGCCCGTTTTTTTTTTTCTGAAAATGTGTTGATGATGATGATGATGGTGATGTTGATGAAGATGTTGTTGATGATGAATGGTTGTTGATGTTGTGGTTGAATGGTTGTTGATGATGATGTTGATGAAGATCTGAAGATGATGATGTTGTTGATGATGATTCTTTCTCTCTCTCCCTCTCTCTCGCTCTCTCTCTCTACTACTCTCCTCTTCCTCCTCCTCCTTCTTCTTCTTTCTTATTCTTTCTTCTTCTGCGTCATTGAAAAAAAAAAATCAAAACGACGAAACGATGTAGTTTTGAATTCGAGGGATTCGGGGAAGGGAGGATTCGAGCTACGTAGCATTACTGTTAACTTATTATATAATTATCCATTAACTTTATTAAACACAATTTGATCTTAATTAATCTTAATTAGTACACAATTTAGTTAATCATGATTAATCACAAATCCCACATAATTCAATTAATCTAATCGACTTCAATTGAGGCCCAATTAATTATATTTAATTTTATTAGCCTGAATCAGATTTTTAATCACTCCCAAAAGGCTCCAAATATTAAATTAAACTTATTGTCATCATCAATTTCGATTTTCCAAACCATTTAGGCCTCAATTTCTAATCAGACTCCAAATTTCCGTCAATAAATTACATATTCAAGTTGGACACCCCATAAATAAATTTAATTCATAATAATCATCATTCTCAATCCTCATAATTTAATTAACTTAATTAACTCCAATTTGAACCAAATTAATCAAATCTTGATTTTACTAAACTGAACTAAATATTAATTAAACTCCCAAATGGGTCTGTAATTACAATTAAATTGATTCAACTTCTTAATTTCACTTCCTTAAGCCATTTGGGCCCTTAATTTCTAATTCCAAAATAAATCTTTAATAGAATCATACACAAATCAGATTCTACAATTCTCATAATTCCCAATTTAAATTAGGATAATAACTAAAATCTCAAATCTCCTTAATTAACCAAATATAAAATATTATACATGGCGGGGTCGTCACAACTTTCAGCAAGTAGTTTCACAAAATCCTGCATATGGGTGAGCATTATGTCTTGAGTTGGAATAGTCACTATGGCTTTACTATATGCAGCTGGGCCGATTGGTCAAAAGGGTACCACAGCAAAATTACCTAATATACCTCTCACACCTAACACTGAGAAGTGAAACGAGGATCAAGGGGTACAATGGTAGTCCAGATCCAAGGGTTGTGTTTCCAACATGGTAGAACCCATAACCGGCCAACCTTTTAGCAAACTTTTTAGGCAAGCCTCCAGCAAGCCGTCCAGGAATAACAGATAGAAAACACAGTGACTTAGAATAACAATACAGATGAAAATGCAAATGCAAATAACATATATCTGTAAATAAAATTTCACATCATTAAGTCCGAGTCAAGTTCTCTACTTTCTCCAACAGAGTCACCAGAAACTGTAGCTTGCTTTTTGTGCTCCTTTCGAATACGATTTCCCTATAGTTTAGACTCTTGTGGTTTTGAATTGGATTTCACAAGTGCAATGTGAAATAGATAAACACAAATGAGTCCAAATCCGGCAAATCTTTTGAAAAATCGATTTTGAATCAAAATGTCAAAAATGGACCGTTTTGCCAGATTACAGAGTTACCACCTAAGTATTTTTGCAAAAATTAGGAAACTCAAGACTCATTCCAAAGGCCACTTATCCGTCATCACCAAAATGTCTCCGCTCGAGAACTTAAGTATGAGAGGGGAAGGTCATCAATTGAGCATTCCACTCACTCGATCAAAGATCGGCCTCTACTAATCATGATGTGATTATTATGTATAGTATATGCTCTTATTCTGATTTTTACGCTATTCTTACTATGTGTTGCACATAAATATAGACTAATTCATCCACTTTGGAATACTTCGATTTCATGTTTATTTGAAAAGTGTTTTGAATATATACCACTCAAAAAAGTGATCTCATATGTACATTTGATCAAACTATCCAAATTTGAGCAATTAGCCTTCATTCACAGGCATTCAACAGGTATATCACTTAAGCACTCAACCTCATGGTATTTATGCTTGATATGGCAACAATCATACACACGCAATATGCTGAAGCGAAAATGCTCACCTAGTACTGAAACGAGGCAAGCCAAAAGAAGAAAAATAGTTAGAAAAAATGCATGATCCTAGCGATGTAAAATGACTAATGTAACACAGACAAAATGCAACTAAGAGACTCGGTTACTAGTATGGCATGTGAATCATTTTGATAGTATGCAGTTAAGCACGTTTTCTTGGATAAGAAACAACCATAAAGTTGGAATGATGCACCGAGACAAATGTATGCAAAAATGGATATGGTAAGCACGATCATGATATGCAAAATGTAAAATATGATGCTACCATTATAAGCAGATAAATAAAAGGAAGAAAGAAATAAGGTTGGAAGACATACACAATATTACAATTTTGCCCTCATGCAAGAGAGTCAGCATAAATGTCTTAATACTGATTATTACAATACCAAATAAATGAATTAACTACACTAAGTAATTAATTACAACACAAATAAATTAACTAAGTAACTAACTATTGCAAATTCAAAGGAATTAGCTAATTAATTACAACATGTTAATTAATCTAAGAGCAATTCACGCGTACAACTGAAAACATCCTCCCGGAAACGCCTCTGTTCTGCTGTTTGAACTATTCTGTTCACAATCAAAAAATAAATCTGTTTTTGCCCCAGCTTCTGCTCTGTTCTACCATAAAAATGGCAATGCTTGGTCAAAATGAGGTGGCTGGCCAGCCAAGGAAAGTGGTCTGGCAAATGCAAAGGTGGCCGGCCAGCCACTAACTTTGATACTGCCGTACTGCATTAGAAAAGAAACAGAGCAAAAACAGAGTGTTTCTAGGGGATGTTTATCCTCTCTACCTCTCCCTATCATGAAACAGATCAAGAAATGGGCAGAATCGATCCACAAATCATCAATGATCGCAAGGTTATTACATGATGATCTATGAACCAATTGGACAAAAAGATCAATGACATGAAATGAAAGACCAACAACACCCATTTCCTATCATGGAGTCACCTCAAGGAAAGGAGTGGACATTGCTTCTTGAACCATTAACATCACTAGGAGTATGTAATGATCTAAGGCTTAATAGGTTCAATTAACATCCGACTGAACCTGACTTAATTTTATTATATTGTTATTATTTTTAGTCTAATTTTATTAGCCATTTTTACATTACCTTGCCATTCTTTAATCATTTTGTCCCAAAAGTGATAATTATGTCCACTAATGAAGAGAAGTTTTAAACAATGAGTTATTCTTGACATGAGAGAGAGAGATAGATGTAATGCCTTGGTAATGAACCTCCGAAGAGATTAAACCATTAAACATGGAAGGGTCTCTTTCGCATGCCTTAAACAACACTCGTTTGAAACAACTCTCAAACAAAGAGAAAATCAAGAATATAGAGAGGTTGCAGGGATGATTAGCACAAGTGTGAGAAAATGTATGAAAGCTATGAAAATGAGGGCTATCAACTCAAATAGGTTGGTGTCTGAAGCCTAAACCACCAAACCTATGAGGACTACAACACTATAAGCATACTATACAAAGCATGAATGAAGTAAACACATTAAAACTGTCCTAACACTCACCAAAATAGTGCTGGAGTTAGCATAGAAAAGCTAGAAAAAGTGAACTAAAATCATGGAGAAATGAAACTAGTAAGCAAGCCTAAGGAGAGATGGCTAACCCCTCCACTTTTTGAACCTCAAAACCATATTTTTAGCCTCTGAAAACAATAGTAAAAAGTTGTAAAAAAAAAACTGAGAAATAAGTGAGAAACACAAGGGCAAAAGCTTAGGAAACAAGGTTCAAAGAAGGGTGGTTAACCCCTCCACCTTTGATAGCTTTAAGCCACAAGTTTCAGCCCATAAAAATAGTATAAAAACAGTACAAAAATAGCAAGAAAAGATAGGGGAGAAGTAGTGTAGAGATGCCCAAAATTATACCTCTTGAAGAGAGGTAACTCCTTTGTTCACAAACCAACAAGTTCTCACTCTCAAGGACTGAGATTTGAGTTTAAGAACCTCAGCAAGAAGAGCTAAATTTTTTGTTTAGGAAGTATAGAGAGAGTGTGTGTAGGTTGCAAGATAGAGAGAGAGAGTGCTATGCAAGTATTGGAGTTTTTGGAATTTTTTCTAACCCTAATTTCCTTTTCCAATTTTTTCTAACCTTTAAAAACATGAGGGAAGGTCAAGTATATATAGAAACACAGCCTCTGAGGTTAGAAATAACTATATACATACAGCTGGTACAGTGTGGAGACAACTGGCAACAAATATCTACAAAAATCTGCTTTTTGACACAAGTGGCTGGCAGGCCACTAGTGGGGGACACTTGGCTGGCCAAAACACTCAAAATAGCCAAATTTTGCACAACTGGCCGACAGGCCACTATTAGT